ATATATATATATATATATATTTATTATTTAATTATTTTTATGTTTATTTTATTTTGATGTAGAAGATGAGAATGAAGATGATATAAAAAAAAAGATAACTTCTTCCAAGAGAGCTTATTATATTCTTAAAATAAAAATTTAAAGTTAATTAATTGTATTTGAAGTTGTTTTATGGACTATCAAAAAATTTAGTTTACAAGTAATTTGTAAGTTTATAATTTGGTTTTGATTTTGGTGTAAGTGGACTAATTTTTATTTGATTTTGTTCTAAGTTTATAATTTGCTTTTGTTAAACATATATTATATACAATATGTATGCATTTTTAATTTTATATAATTATATTTATTTATTTGTAGCAATTTTTTTTATTTGAACATAAAAATATATATTTTTTCCATTTTTTTTAATTTTATTTTTGTATGCGGACTGACCCGCCAACCCACCAGCCCGTCCTTGGATGGGGCGAGCCAGCATTCCCAACTCGTTTTACATTAACAACCTAACCTGACCCATTTTTTACGTGCCAATAGCAGGTTAGGCCAAAACGAACCGAACTGACCCGTTTTGCCATCCCTAATTAAAATCTTTGGTGTACTTAACGTCTCTTATAAAATGACAAAGATAATAGTTTATGTATAATATTTAGCATTTAATTAATAATAATAATAATTAATACAAATAATAAATAATAAATAATTAGTTATATATTGAGAGAGAAAGTTAAACGGGCATGAGCTTCAAGTATCGAGGCCTTTGCCTCGGCTGTTCGTAAAACTGTCTTTTCTTTATCACTGACCACTCCTTACGTGTCCTCAAAATATCCACCCTCTCTCCTTTCAAGTCTTGTGCAACAAGGAAAACGCTCTTTGGAGGGAGCCACATCGGTCTACGCGCCCAACCAATCTCCACCCTCCACCCCCCCAATCCAACGCCTCTCATCGCTTCTCTTTTTTCCCTCTTTTCTTCTTTTCCTTTCCCCTTAGCGGTTTTAATCATAAACCCTAGCCGAAACAGTGAACCCACTCCCTCACTCTCTCTCATCTTAGCGCGCGCTCTTTTCTCTTCTCTCTTCCCCCACAGATCTCGCTCAGACCGATTCACTTCCCAAATTTTCCCCTTTTCTTTCCTTCTACCTTCTACCTTCTACCTTCAAGCTTCGATTTTTCTTCACTCCTTTTATACCCATCTTTCTGTTTTATTTTTAATTTACAAAATCGGACACGATCGTGTTCGATTTTCTTCACGCCATGGCCTTTCCCTCTCCTTAGCACAGCCAGGATCACGTGACTGTGTTTATTCTCCGCCAAGAAAAAAAAAACACAAAAAATTCCGGTTTGGTTGGGTTGGGTTGGGTTCGATTTTATTTATAGGAAAACCGTACGGCAATGCCGGCGGCGGGGATGCGACGAACGACGAGAGTGTTTGGCATGAAGGGGGCCGACTCGGCCCGCGTTTTGCGCTCGGGGCGGCGTTTGTGGCCGGAATCGGGTGAGGTCAAGCCCAAGCGAACCAACGATGGGGACGAGTGGCCCTCGAAGACCGCGAAGTTGGATTCCGCGGCTTCGCCCCGCGGCGCCGCCGCGAAGGGGAGGCGCGAGGTGGCTGACGCGCCCGCCGCCAGGAGGGGTCAGAGGAGGTTTGGCATTGTGTATGAGAGGCGGCGGAAGGGGTTGACGAAGGAAGGTTCTAGAAGGAAGGAGGAAGTTCCGCGTTGCGAGCTTTCGGTTGTCGTGAGTCGTTGCGCCGGCGAGAGTGGTCGGTTTTTGAGGTTGTTGGCTTCGGTGATGAGATACGTTGCCAGGGTTCGCGTTTCGCCCAGGAGGCTGTTGGGGTTCTTTATGTCGGTGGCAGTTCACGGTGCTTTTGCCTCGCGGGGGATGCTCTTCGTGAAGGTAAAAATTGAATTTTGCGTGTTGGGTCTGATAAGAACGTTTTGAAAAAGTTGTGGGGGGTGTTGGTGGAAATTTTAAGAATTTTTGGGGGTGGTGGGTAAGTTGGCCACTAATTTAGTTATGGAATGGGTTTTTATAGCTATTGGTTTGGATAATTGAGTGCCCGCAATGTTCGCTGGGTATGTATCACATCAAAGATATCTTCAATTTGTTGATTCAATCCTCGGGTTTATTGCTTGATCCTTTCTCTTCATGAAATTCTTGCTGGCTTAGCTTGTGTGATATCCGCGTTTCTTTTTCCTCGTCGTGGTTCATTGAATTGAGGCTTTTGGGGGTGTCTTTGTGACTGTGTGTGAGAGTATTTAACCTTTTTTTCCTGCATCAATTGCATTTGTTGTCCGCAGTGTCTGATTTTTTTCTCCACCTTTGTTGATTCCAAACTGTAGAGGTTTATACAAACTTAAGCCTGGGTAAAGGGTTAAACATGTTTGATTCTGCAAATTTGGTTCATTTTTTGGTGTTCCAGTATTTCTTTGTTTTCTTACTTGGGGTTTACTTTACCCGAATCAGGAAACGGGTTGTTAGATGGAAAGGCTTTATAGATATGAAAAGTTTGTCACTGGTTATTTTATACTTATAATAATAATAATCTGGCTTTTTAATCGTAGTGGCTGGATCAGTATTCTTCTGCTCCCTGGTGTTTGTTGAGTGGTCGAGCATTTTGAGGGGGGGGGGGG